CTATTGCTGGAAATAGCTTTCTCGTCGACTGAATTTTCAAGAATTGATCTACCAGGAGGTCCACTTATCGATTTAGAATACGCATATGACATAGTCCTGTTTGGTGAAGACACTGACAGAATGCAGAGTCTTCTGTTAGAACTGAGTAATAATGCCAGGATGTTTGGGATGCGTCCCCCCCATCCAAATGTAAATTGTTACTTCAAGATAGGGAGTGAAGTAGTCGAACGCGTCGATAACTTCACTCAGCTTGGAAGTCTAATCAACCCTAATGGGTTGGTGTCTGACAAAATCTCAGCACGGATTCAAAAGCTCATTTGGCTTTTGCCAACCTACGTCACCTATGGCGAAGACGAGATATCCGTCTATCAATTAAGGGACGAGTATACTGTGCAGCAGTTCGTTCTGTCCTACTTTACGGCTGTGAAACATGGCCATTCAGAGTAGAAGATACTCGGAAGTCACTAGTATTTTACCACATGCTGTAGAAATATTGCTCTCATCTGCTGGGATCACCGGGTAAGTAATAGTGAGGTTAGACACAGGGTATTAAGGAATGATGGTGAATCAGTTGATGAGGTCATGAATTTTCATCGACTGAGATGTTTAGACCACGTGTTACGTATGTCTGAACAAGGATTACCACGACGCACTATGGTGACTAGTATTGGGGATGGTTGGAAGAGAGTTAGGTGCGGCCAAACCAAATCGTGAGATGAGAGCTTGAAGTCACTAACTCCTAGTCTGAGCCATGTTGGTAGTTGCAGACTACTTGATTAGGGTCTGCGTGACTATCACAACCAATGGTTGGAGACTCTAGGTGACATGGCTCAGAATGGATCACGATGGCGCAAGTGTATTCACTCTTTATCTTCCCTTAAACCTTAAGATTAAAATTGCTTCATATTTGTCGTCCTTCCTATACTATATCCTTATATACAATTTTTTTATATTACCACTATTAAATTAACTACTTCTATGATTCCAGTGTTCTGCTAACGAGGTATGGCAACATGGACCGATGCATATATGTGCCTGGTCCTACGTTGTAGCCGACTGACTGAACTGTTCTTGCTATTCTTAGCAATGGAATGATCGCACGGCTGGTTATTTTAATGTCACTTCAGTGGTTGTTCGTTAGTGCTCACCAAATTTCAGGTCTTACATTTTGACTTACACAGGCTTGCGTTTGCGAGTATTCTGTCAATATCTCTGTATACACTCGTCTCTTCATAAATTCTATCGTCAGAGGAACGGGAGTCAAAAATCACCACAGTTATAAACTGTCGTTCAAAATAGGCTCGCGACGAACATACTTCTTTCCTATTGAGAAGCCTCAGATATCCATTAGAATTTTCTATGGAGACTCCGACAATATGTATTACGGTCAATAGTGCACTGTGGCACAATTTCCATTATTTCTATTCAAGTCTTATACACTTGTACGTTTAGGAATTCATAAAAGAGACTCGTACGAAGATAGTCTAGTAGTTTCCAATGCTGCTTGGAAACCGACTTGCATTCTGCGAAGTAATTTGAACTAAATCCAGTTTCCAACTTGTTTTTAATACGACTTTGTTTAGGCATGGAGAATTCACGACTACAAGATGACTGAAAAGACAGTCAGTCGCAACTACTAAAGTTACATAACCAGACACATACGTATTAGACGCCGGGTACGCTTAGGAGAAACTGCCTTTTTGTTTTACAACTAACTACATACACTATCACGAGTGCATTTTTTCCGTGAAGTACAACTACCGTTAACACTTTGGTGGAATTTAATCATTAAATTCTGACATTCATTGTTATAGTCATATGGGACGATAATCCATATTAAATCGAAAGTACCTAGCTAACTATAGGTTGCTTTAAGCCAACTTAACATCGTTATTTTGTGTTGTTGAGATATCTGTCAACGTAGGTGGGCTACAATTTCCAATGTATTAGGGACATATTCTCGTAAAACGTTACTGAACTGCACGTCGACAATAAAGAATAGAGGAGAATAAGATGTCTACGATCCAACCGGGATTTCGTTTACCCTTAATAACTTAGATATCGTCTAGTTGATTGAGGTGCGCGACGCTATCGCAGCAAACGTTTCTCGGTATTGTAGACTACTACTGATCGAGTATAATGACATCCTGCTCATATTAGGCTGTGACTTACTATATGGATAGCTCACGTACTAAAGCTCCTAACCAGGCATTCTTGCGTCCAAAAATCTCATTTACTACTCTATTAGATGTGTGACGATCCAAAACAAGAACATTCTGTTCTACCGAGAATTGTTCACCGTGGTTCCATAAACACTGTAAGAGTGAGTGACAAACTGAACGGTATTACAAAACCAATTAAGGCCGGTAGGCAATCCCGATTGGGCTCACATTTTAGTGAAGCTATGAATATTCACTAACATACTATCTACTTTAATACTTCTGGAATTTTCAAAAGAAATTTACTGTAAAGAACTACTGCTTCTGTGCTCAGAACCCGGCACATGGAACACCTTCATTGCTCGTTCATACTTATCTCAATATATTGTTGACACCAATAGCTAAAGTAATGTAAGTTTAACTTTAAAGGTTGTCCGCAGACTTCCATTTGAATTATGGCTGTTATGGAAGACAACCTTGCGAGTGAACAACAGTCGGTACGGCCATGGATTGGGGAGTTAGCTATTCCTCTCGAAATGCTCCCACGCGTATACAGCCACTAAGACATAAGTCTTACTGCCTTCTCGCGGTGGGGGTGTTGTTTACAAAATTGAGAGGACGAAAAGCAGGTGTCTGGCGCTTTAACCGAGTTGATGAACCCACCCAGACAGGTTAGAAAATCCTGAGTGCAAATCCATGGTGCACATGGGATATGAACCAATTACTGGTCACCGGTTAATATAAGACTGCGTCTCCTTACATTACTCCATTGCCTTGTGGATCAGACCATCTGGTCGAAGGTGTTGGCCCCCCAATAAACCACTTGCTTTGGTCTGGGCACCCAGTCAGTAGAACAGTTCACACATAAACCAAATGACTTGTGTCGCATTTATGTATTTAGTGCCCTTTTGTAACAATATGTTCAAATAACTATACGATTAGTTCTAACCTGTTACTATGACATAAAACCCCCATTTCAATTAGCACCCTTCCACAATATTAGCCTTATGCCGATATTATCAAATATCATATATCTACTTCATTCAATGTGGTTTTTTACTCAAATGAAGTTAGCCTCATACGCGCCCTCAAAGTTCTAAGCTAGTGTCCGATTGTATTAAAAATATGCAGCTTTCGAAGATCTACATTAATCGTCATTTGGACACATTAACAACAGCATTGCTAAGTAGTACGCCTTATCAGAAGATTCAGGTGACTACTTTTAACCATCCATTTACAATAGTTAAGGCTAAAGAATTCAGAGGCCAATAATTTACTTGGCAATACTCACGAGAACAAGTCTGGTCACAGTAACCACTGAAAATATGATGAAAGTCCATTTAACGTCTTTCAGTTAGGGATGGTAATTTTTGGGTAAATAATAGCATATATTTGGAATAAGCTCTTCATCATAAACCATCATCTGTAAAGTATATATTGAAACCAGATATCTAGTTGATGCTAGTGTATAAGTCAAAATATTGGAACTAATTGAGTCAATGAGTGTACGCGTTCAAGTCAATTTTATAAGTTTATTTACCAAGTACAGATTAATTTGGTTGCCAACACTGAAGCAGATGGAGTACACCTGCAACAGCCACTCGATTGACTAGATACAATCATCTTACACTTAGCAGCAAGCGCTTGTCAAATTTGTTTGTTTTATACACTATCAAGGAGTGCCATTAATACTTCTTGTCAGTCACACAGTTGATTGACAAAGTTCAGGATTTTCACCGAGATACCAAGTGAACCATAGTTATAAATTCATCTACCAACTAATGAGTCCAAACATTACATCAGTTTGAATAGGCTACTGTCACTAGCACGCGCCATAAACACAGCTTAGACATAAGCACTCAAATCAACATTACGTGAGTGAAATCCAGTCTTGTTAAACTAATTTACGATGTAACTGCACAATACCAGTCTATATTTAATTGAAAAAGCAACGGGTTCCTTATCCAAATCCCCGTCACAGAATCTGTGAACTGAGATTATGAGAGCTGTTGGCCAATACGACACGTATCACAACTGATACTGAAGCAAACTTTGCTTTAGTATACAACTAGTTTATATGTATTAGTATCACGAGTAACGAAAACACCACTTCATCACCTGATAAAATAGACGGAATGTAATGCATCACAATTCTACTGCATAGAGTCAATTAGTTTATTTAGTGTATATCTACCTAGTACACAACACAAGTGTTACGTAGCTATGGTAGTAGAGGGCAACGGCTATCTGCAACTAAGAAAGCATACACAGTAGTGACATGATATTCCAAGTAATGTTTCTATGCATATTACCACGAGATGAACAACTAGACGATATCGTCAAGTTAATTTTCGTAACAACTATAATCAAACTATCTAACAGGCCTGGTGCACGAACGCTTTGTCATTTATTTCACTCTGGTCAAGTTTAAAAGCGTGTGCATGGTGAGTTACAAACACAACTGACAGTGACCTAATCGTAAGGTAAATCCATATACTATTGTTTTCAAGGAAAAAGTTCTCAGAACTACTTAGTGGTGACCTAAAAAGTACATAAATAGAATGATGAAGTTGAACTTAACGTTAGATTTTCGTATCATTATTAATCTAAATTTACATAAGTTTACCACCACTGAATAAATTTTCCATTCTTCTGCCGTGTTGTCTGTACTTACTCCTTGAGAAAGTGCGAGAAGGAACAAGCAATCAAGTAATGCAAAAGTTCAAAACCAGTGGAAAAAATTTTCTTAGAATATGATGCCGTGAGAAATAGAGTTTAGTATGTTTTCGAAAATACTTGAATTATTCAAGACCCGAGTTAGATGTCCTCAGAATCCTGCGGTTATCCTGTGAGTGACTAGAAGGGATAAAACAATTAGGTCAATCAGATCTTACCATAATAGCATTGACAACATCATCGTTATTTTCACGAAGCGCTCGAATAGCTTTGCCACGCGATACACCAGCTTGCTGCATAATGAGTTCAACATCTTTCTCATCCAATCCAGTAGCATCAGGCTAAGCAGAATCATTTTATAATACAATGATTTTACCTCTTCATCATCTTCAGATTCCTCTGCGATGGCAGTTTTAGAGATAGACGAAACTGCATCTTTTGATAGGCCACTTGATGTCCCTAACTCAGTACCTCCCATGGCCTGACTACGTAGTTTTTCAGCTGCAGCTATCTGAGCTTGTGCTGATATATCTTCTACTTTAGCCTCACCAAATATTATGTATGTATCCGAGGCAGATGATTTATAGACCTCTGCCCTATTGATTACAAACATAATGGTTTTTGCTTTTCGTATAGTTACGCGGCAAACTCCCTGTACCAATTTTAAACCCAGTTTCGACATAGCTTTCCTAGCTTTTTTCTCGCTTCTGGACTGCTTACATCGACTGAGTAATTCATCGGCTAAATGTGATACTTTAGCATCACTTTGTTCTTTAGAATCTTCTAATTCTGGTGCAGAGTCGTCCGAATCACTGCCAGAATCAGAAACCACATTTTTGTCTTCCAGCTTGTTTGTGGCCCCGGGAACCATTATCACAGTTGCAACAAACCAGTTTACACCCACGGATATGTAGCCTTGAATGCCACCCCGTTTGTCCTAAGTAGTTCAAACAATTACAGTTTTCAATAGACAGATTAAGCAGACAGGCGATATGCTATATATTCGATCTATGCTTACTAGATAAAACGAATAATTATTTCAGTGTGATTAGGTTTCATGCTTGCGTTTTAGAAAAGGGTAGCGATTTCATACTTGTGAATTAACTTTATTTTAGAGTATTGATTTCACCAACATCATAATTGGTTAACTTTAATTTCAGTTATTCCCACTAGGGTTAGGAATTTTTTTCAAACCCATCTTTTGGTACCATTTTCCAGTTGGTTATCACACTGGTCATTAGCTTGTGCTTCTGTCGATTTTTCCCCTCTTAAATCAATCTGTACTCACATGAGACGCTTAGGCGGTATGAACCATCGATAGGAACTTATTAGACCGTTGAACACACACAGTTGCTTGACTGTAGTCGGTTCTGAGTAATCCGGAATGATTGTCACTTTGTTTTACAGGGGGCAGATGCATTGAGTAGCATTATTATGTCCAGAGAAATCTGGAGAGTCGGTACCAATTTTACATTTCTGAATGTTCACAGTAATGCCCTGCTTTCAGAGTTATTCGAAAACAAGGTCCAGATGCTGAAGATGAGATTTTCTGTCTGGACGTGCGATCAAGAGGTCATCTGCATATATGTGTACGAAGTTGAAACCTCGAAAGACGTAATCCATGAGTCTCGGGAATGTTTGTGCAGCATTTCTCAAACCGAAAGACATTGGCGAAAATTCGTGGAGTTTAAAAGGGGGTGATGATAGCGGTTTTAGGAATGTCGTCAGCAGCCATGAAAATTCAGCTATACGCTTTAACCATGTCGATTTTTGAAGAAAAACAGTCGTGCCTTTTAAGATAGTTATGAAATCATGAGTGTGAGGCAAAAGATAACGATCAGCAATTATTTTAGCATTCAATCGCCGATATTCATCAGATGGAAACCGATCATTACTGCCCTTTTAGGGACCATGTGCAATGGGGATGCTCATAGGCTGTTCGATGGCCGAATGATTCCTAAATCTATCTTATGGTTGAATTCATTTTCTGCCACTCTTAGATTTTTGGGAGCTAGTTCGTGCGCTCCCGCAAATGCAGGTGGTCCTTTAGAGGTGATGTGGTGTTTAACATTTCTGGTTGCACACGGTCATTTTGGTCGTGTTTGGTACAGTTCAGGGTACCTGTCGAATACCCGTTGATAGCATGAATCGATTATGAGCTTAACTGTGATTGGGTATGGCCTACAGCCAGAAGAGGAATTAATACAAACAAATAATTGGTATATAATTCCCATTTAAACATTAAAATAAGTACTTTAACAAAACATTTTCATATATATACGATTGTACAGCTTGATAATAAATTCGTTGAAAAGAGATCCCTTCGCTGAACAAACAAATAAATTAGTATTTTCGTTTACTTAAATCCGTTTTCGCTTGTCGATTAGTAGATTATGGTGTTATAGGAGGTTTTATCTCTGATTGGCATAGAAACATCTGCAACAACAAAGATACAGTGAATGGGTTTGCTTAAACCCATGTTAAGACAAACATGTTGCTTACTTTATGTGGCAACCGGTTCGCTATTCGCCGCCAGTAAGTTGAAAACTGATTCGTGCAGTCGATCGTCGGAATTTGTTGGAAGAATGTTCACTTCTGCGCCGGTGTCTATGAGATAGAGAACATTCACCACTACGTCATTGTCGTATAACAGACGGCTATACCCTCCGGCTGCAGGTGCTGTTAACGCGTGACTGTTTCTCGAAAGTTTCTCGAAAGCTTTTTTGTGTCGGATGGTTTGGAGCTCGGGAAGCTTCAGAGTTTCCCGCAATTTTGAGATTTCATTTATTTATCATGGTACCAGAACCAATAAGTGTTATCTGTCCCTCATGGTTGGGAAACGGATCACCACCGTGCTTAGCTTCTTAGAGGAGTTTGAGGGCGTCTACGGTTGCGATTAATATCGAGATAACATGTTAGAGTGTGACGGAGGTCTGTGATATCGTTTTGTGTTGTTTACGGTTTTTGTTTGACAGAACATCGGTGTTGGGGGTTCTAGCGATCTCCAAAATACAGTCGGCAGATACAGCCAGTTCGTCTACGGCATTATTTTGAAGTGATACAAAGACTGCTCACACCCGTTGAGGAAACTTAAACAAAGAATGCAGTCGAGGCGGGCTCTCGTCAAAGGTACATCGACCAATGATTTCTCTCACAAATAGCAACATTTCTCTCGCTGAGCCGTTTGCAGCTCGATTTTGTGAGAGAGTTGGTCTAACGTTTGTTGGTCGGTTTGGTCTCCACGCCTAAGAACTAGTAAACATACTTGGTGTGAAGCGCTTGTTAAAACCAAGCGGTGGAGCTTTTACTACTGAGGGAATTGTGCACGTGAGTCTGTCATACTGTGCTCGTAAAAGTCAGCTCCCGAGTATCAGAACTAGGAATCTACACTACTGGGCCATGATAGCATTAGCTGAATGGTGGGAGGCGGAAGAGGTTTAATCTGAAGTAACTTAGTTATCTGTTCCATCATAACAAAGATACAATACAACAATGAGCAGAAGAAAAGTTCAAAAATGTGAAAACAATATCAAAATATATAAAAAAATTTAAAAAGTATATAATATTTCAACAACATGCAATGTGACAACTGCAAAGTTTGGTTCCACGAAGCATGTACAGATCTAACAGCAGCAGTCTATAACAGACTCAGCAAGTCTGATCGTAGGTGGGTATGTGTTACCTGCAATACTGATACTGTAGTTATGTTGGGTACCATCATTACTTTACTTACAGGTCTGAGATATAAGTTGTCTAAGAATTCGGTGAGTGATAGTATCATGACGGGTAACAAAACTGGAACGCATAGGGCAAACAAGAAAAAGGATATTGACAGGTCGGTTATCGACGGTGCTGTTAACAGCACGAGTGATGATATGCTGAAACTCAGCACCACCTTACCATCAACTGTCATCGACTCCCTCAGTAAACTTGAGTCCCCCAGGGAGAAGTCCTTGAATGAGACAGTGGTTCCCAAAAATCCTGTAGGTGTTTAGATTCATGTTAACAGGAGTAAAAAGGCCCAAGCGTCCCCGCCGAAACTGAACATCCCAAGTACCAAATCAATTGATGCTTTGGCCTCACAGTCTACCCCCAAGACTGTCCGCCCGGTCATCACTGAGCCCAGGAATCGAAAACGCGCTTCGACATCCAAACAACAAGATACCAAACTCAGACGCCCTGGAAAACCTGGGAAATCAATTACGGTTCGTGACGACTCTGTCATAATCATGGACCTTATTGACAACCCCGACCTTCCTCTCAGTTTGCAGGACAAAAATGATAGGATGCTCTGGGGACAATTAAACAAGAGGCTTGAACTCCCTAGAATAGAGCCTTTGACCGTCACACGGCTCACCCGGCGGAAGGACTCTAACCACCTAAACCACCCGAGGCTGCTTCGTGTTACACTTAAGAATGCCTCCGACGTTCAGGACGTCCTGCTAGCCAATCACTTACTGAAATCCGATGGGAACGTAAGAATACTGCCCGACATACCGTATTCTGAACGAAATCTCATCCGGAACATCCCTAAGGAATCCAGCTGACCCACATCAACTATACTGACGAAAGCTTCACCTGCACCTGTACAGGACTTTCCGAAGTGGATCTGAGTGCTGACCTGGTGCTCCGTAAACTGCAGCACCTAAGAAAAGACACTTCCCCTGGTCCGGATATGGTTCATTCCGCTGTTTTGAGGGAAGCAGCTTCAATCCTGGCGACACCACTTAGCGTGATGTTTGCACACTCGCTAAGCAGAGGCAAACTACCGGAAGTTTGGAAGCTGGCCCACATCACACCAATTTTCAAAGGAGGTCGACGCAGTGAACACTCAAGCTACCGACCAGTGGCCCTTCTCTCCATACCTTCAAAAATTATGGAATCCCTAATATATGACGGTATACTAGAATACTTATCATCCTCAAAGTTCTCCTTGCCTCAACAGCATGGTTTCAGAAAATGTCATTCTTGTATGACCAACCTGCTGACTGCGGTGGATAGATGGACAACCATCCTTGATCGCAAGGGGAAGGTTGACGTCATCTACCTGGACTTCTCAAAAGCTTTTGATAGGGTCAACCACGTATGTCTTATCAAGAAGCTTAGACGATTGGGTATAAAACCCCCTTTGATCGATTGGCTCTCTTCATACTTAGAAAACCGACACTTTAAGGTCAGGGTTAACTTCACTCTCTCTCAGGCTATGGAATGTCCTAGTGGGGTCCCCCAGGGCTCAATACTAGGACCTCTTCTCTTCTTGATTTATATTAACGATCTTCCTCAACAAGTTTCATCTAACTTATTGCTTTTTGCTGATGATGTGAAACTTTGGAGAGAGATACGTAATCATATTGATATACTAGTTCTTCAGGAGGATCTGACTCGACTTCAAAGTTGGGCAGACGACAACGGACTTACCTTCAACACTTCAAAGTGCAAGGTAGTCCATCTGAGACATGTTGCAGACTATAGTTATAACTTAGGTAACTCCCCTCTAGAAGTTTCACAAGTCGAAAAAGATTTAGGAGTGTTGGTACCCTATGACCTGAAATCGTATACGAACTGTGACAAAAACGCCTCTTAAGCAAACCTTGCACTGGTAACATTGAAGTGCATTTTTGGCCAGTTTGACGGTAGCACCTTCCACATAAACTTCAACAGTTTTATTCGTCCCCATTTAGAGTACGGAAACATAGTATTTCCTCCCTCCCTCCAAAAGGATAAGGACACTCTGAAACGTATACAACGTCGAGCCACGAAGTCAGTTCGGGGACTCAAATTCAAACCTTATGAAGAGCGCCTCCAATCACATAACATTTACCCGTTATAGTACAGGCGTCTTAGAGGTGACCTTCTTATGACTCGCAGTAT